TTCCCCATTGTCTATACATCCATACACCTATTTCTTTTTTTCTTTTTGAAGATATTTTCATTTTACATGTTTGAATTTATCCAACAAAGTAACCAGCTGTCATGTGATATTTTCATGCATATTTTATTTGGGTGGACTCTCTGGCCCTCTCTCCCCTCATCTCCCTCTTTCCCACTACACTTTGGCCTCTGTTCCTCTTTTCCTCTTTGTTCTATTATTCCTCATTCTCTTTTTCTGAGAACTTCTCTTTCCCCTACCTATTTATGGTTTCCTGGCCTTGACCCATGTATACCCCTGCCCAGACACGCCCATTTAACAATTAGAAGCTAGGATCTAGATATGAGCAAGACCACACATTACTTGTCTCTCTGAGCATTATATGTACATATACACACAGACACACACATATATGAGCAATACACATGTATGATATATAGACAGATAATGATTGCTGTGAATCAATAAAATCATATAGATTGTATAACAATATATACCTTACTTAATATAGTGTTTCCCAGTCCCATTTATTTTCCTGAAATTTTCATAATGTTTTCTTAATTGACTCTTAAAGGGTCACCTGAATAAATACATTTTGCACTTACTATTGAATGCTATAATAATCAATAGAACTAGTCAAGTAAAACTGACAGAGTTGAACTGTTTATAGGGAGAAATGCTGAGACTTGAGTCACACATGAAATGTTTTTTAAACCTAAGTACACTCGGCTTTCTTGAATACATCTGGCCACAGCTGTAGCCGTCTTTATGCTTCCTACCTGTGCTTTCTCCAGTTTCTTTCTTTCTCCTTCTCCTTTCCTCCCCTAGATGCCACAGCCACCCTGGGCCCTCACCGTGTCCTAAGCAGAAATACAATGTTTTCAGGGACTCTTGGGCTCTACACTGCTGACATCTGAGGGTGGATAAAACTTTGCTATAGGAGACATTCCTGCACTGGATTCATATATATTCAGTGGCTTCTATTCAATGGATTCCAAGAGATATCTACAGGCATTGCTAAATGCCTTATACTGGTATCAGAAATCTTCCTTAGTTAAAAATTGTGGCAATAATTCAACCATGAAAGGAAAACAAACACCATTTAAAAAGTTTCTTCCTGAGCTTTGCCCTTTGGTGGATTAAGACAAATCAATTCCGACTTGCAAACTGGTTTCATTTTACACCAAAACAATCTACTCCCTCTTCATTTCATGACTCGAGGCAAAATGGACATTATTTCCAAGAAAGAAAAGAAGTTATTATATAACAGATGGCCTCAAGAAGCATCATTTATCAAATAAAATCTAAATTTACTTATACACCCCAGTTTATGTGCCAATATGAAGAAGACATGAACCTGCATACAGTAGATTTGGCAGTTATAAATTACACTAGATGCCATTAGCGTGGAGGGACTTTATATTTTGGTTTCAGAGATGGGTGTGCTGGAACTTTCAGCAGACTATGAACAGCCAGCACATTCTTGCATGTCTCACACTGTCTTGTTAGGTTAATGTGAGCTGTCACTTCTGAGCCCCATGCTTTGCTGGCAGTTCACTGTAACTTTGGAAAGAAAAGCAAGGGAAGGTGTAATTGGTGACAGCTGCCATGTGGCTCACTAACAAGGCACCATGGCACATGCGCATCTCTGAGAGGCTTTTTGCTTGTTTGTTTTCTGTCTAAAAAATCAAAAGAAAAAAAGGTCAACTAAAACCCCAGCTAGCAATCAGTGGCCTAACAAGAATCTGCCAGGTTGCTCTGATTTACTGGTGGTGTATCTGTTCTCCCTCTCATATGGAAGAAAGTGTATTAGAGAGTATTTGAGACAGTCTGCAGTTCTGTTTCCTAAAGCCTCCTCCATTACCAAGACCCACCGATAGTCTGGATATTCTGATATTGCAGTTTCGGTGTAAGGAAACAAAGTTCAGTATTAAATTCCCCATCAATGGTCTGTCATGCTCTACATAAAAAAGAGTGGCACCAGCCCCATGTATTTTATCTGCTCTTTGGAGAAATGCAGTAGTCAGTGCACAGCACAAGAGCACCTGACACTGTTCCCTGCTCCTGGCTCTTCTCAGCAGTCTATGGGTGGCTCTCAGATGTCACCTTCTCCTCGCCCAGCAGCACTCTGCTGCTCGGGTCAGTTTCTATGGCTCTTTATGACTGGTCATTTTCCCATCTTGTGTTCTGTCTTTGGCTGATGAGAACATACAGAATGGTGGAGAAGCCTCTTGAGCATCTAAGCTAGTCCCAGACGATATCTAACCAGCCATTCACCACTCATTTGCTCAGGACTCCCCCACACTTCCCATCTCTGAGCCTGAGACTTTGAGTGGGTTTCACTATTCATATTTCCAATTTATTATTGCTCACAAAACCTCTTGGATTCTTACAGGTTCAAGAGCAATGTGACTGAATGCAGAAGTCTTTATTCAACATCCTTTTAATACATTCCTCCCCTGATAATCTCAATAAAATGTGAAAGTTCATCTCTTGCCTCTACCTGTTCACCTTTGCTGTTTGAGAGAACCCTCCTTGTGCTAGGGTAATTCTAGTAAATTTTCTCATTGTGTGTGTCTCTTTCACTGTCTTTGTCTCTTACACACACACCACACACACGCACACATACATACACACACACATACATACACGCACACATACATACACACACACATACACACACGCACACACACATACACACACACATACATACACGTACACACATACACACATATACATACACGTGCATGAACATGCACACATGTACACATATACAAACATATACATGTGCATGCTAGGAGAAGATCCTGGCCTTCTTCATTACCCAAAGTTCCCTCATTTCTAACTCTCTGTTCCTTCACTTAGCATGATAAGGGAAGGTTGGTATTGATGCCCTGGTACTCATCCTGGATCACTGTCCTTGTTAGTATTGATGCCCTGATACTCATCCTGAATCACCATGCTTGTTATTCTCTATGCTCAGTGCACAAAAGCTTTTGATGTGACATTTATAACACAGCATTGATGACACCACGATTTGACTTGAATACAACTCATAAAGTACAAAAACACTTTGAAAAAGCCATTGATATTTTTCTATGTTGTCATTAGTTCACAGTAAATTTGACAAAAAACCACTATCATATCCTAGAGTGTCACTTATCCTTAATCCATGTAGATTCAAAGTGGCATAAAGAAGGCATGGTTTCAAAAGACCCATGTTAAACACTCATACATCAAAATGACAATAGTCTACATGACAGTATGTCATTAGTACATGAGTTTCTTAAAACGTGTTAGGATCAGTGCTTAAAGTATTTTTGCAAAATTGGAAAAGTTCAAAATTTCTAAGAGGAAAAATTAGAAACCTTTGTTAAAACAATAGACTTTCTTTAGTCTAATTCCCAATACTAACTGTAAGCTATCAATTTCGGCCTACAAAAGCTGGTAAATTTTTATTTAAAATGTTGATATAAAGCATCCTAGAGTGGTTCTATGGTTCATTATCTTAGTGTCAGCTTAAGACTTCTTGCAATCACAGCCAGATGTGATGGAATATTCTGGAATAGTAGGCCATGGTTTAGACATAAATACACAAATAAAAACACCAAGGCCATCCCTGTCTTGTAGTCTAAAGATCAAGCACTGACTTGGTTGAGGGTTCAGAGTAGATCTCAACAGGCGAAGACTGTTACCCAGGCCACAACTTTCAAGGTATTCTTTAATCTATGGCTGTTACTATTTACATAAAAATATGGTATACTGGAATTTTCAAGTTCAGAAAAATAAGCACTTAAACCCATGTGAACTAAATGAGGGCCTGTACAGTCACAGCACTGTATTTCCCAATGCCACTGATGCCACTCGATCATAGTGAGTGTATGTGCACTCTGTGGTAACCACGCAATGAGATGCATTTCCCATGGTATGTCCTCATTATGCAACCAAGTCAGCGTCTAACTTCCCTGTCATATGGGGACATAAAATGATCTACAGAACTCTCATTTGGAGTAGTTGTTGAAAAGTTATGATTCTTATACAGCCTTTTCAGCATGAAGGGACAGTGGTTTAGAGAGAAAGAGTCAGCTAGTGAGAACTGTAGAGGGCCCTCCCAGTAATCTGGGCGATTACTGTGGACCGAGTCTATCACATCTGAGAAACTGAGTGGATTAAATGACGTTGAAGGAGATGTGAGTATCACAAGAAGGTCAGAGAGCAGGGAAGAGACTGCACTTCCACAGCAAAGCAGCTAAGGATAACACTTGGTTTCCCTGATAGTGGTCCTATCAGATTCCATCCAGTGGACAGATATGGCAGAAGCCCATTTTATTATAACACTTAAGGTCAATGCTATAGAAAGTAGGGCATCTCTCCTCTGAGTGTGAAGGAAGCCACCTGGAACCACAACAGTCTCTAGCCCAGAGATGAAATTATTAGAAAAAGAGCAAACCAGAAAGATAGCAGGGAAATGGAGAGTGAACCATAACTGACGGATATGTAGAACCCCATGTTGATCTAGCGTTTTGCTTACGTGACCCAATATGTACTTTCCCTGCTAACTCACTTGAGTTGAGATCTCTGGTATATGTAACTAATAGCACTCCATTTTGGTAATTTTTCTTCCAAATTATCTGAGAGAAGACCTACGATATGGATTTATACTAGACTAGAACAGTACTAAGTCAGGAAAATGCAAAGTAATCAGAATACTACTTCATTGGGTTCTTTATAGATTAAGCCTACCCTAGGATAATATGTGGACTTCAAATTTCACATGTAGTTTAAGAGGGGATTCAGCTGTCTGGACAGGAAAGAAGGAAGAAAGGGGAGGAAGAGAGGGAGGGAAAGAAAGATGGGAGGAAGGAAGGAAGGAAGGAAGGAAGGAAGGAAGGAAGGAAGGAAGGAACAAAGGAAAGAAGGAAGTAGGGAAGGAAAGAAGGAAGGAGAGAAGAAGGGAGGGAGGGAAGGATGGACAGACAGAGAGAGAAACAATTATGAGTTACCTGGTAATGAACTCTCTGTGACCCAGAAGAAACTGACTGCAAGTCCTAATGAAAAAATTAGGGGGAAAAATACCTTGCAGTTAGATTGAACAGCTATTCCATATCCCACCCCACCCCAAAGAATCCCCAATTTAATGTCATCACACTCAACTGAAAGTATCTTAGTTCTTCGAGGTTGTCCAATGAAGTTCATGCCAGCAATAACTATAATAATAAACGCATACTAACTGGGACTGAGAGAAGATGGGTCATTTGTGTTTTACAACTAAGGTTAGTAATGTTATACTAAGTGGAAATCCGATTTCATTTGTATCTAAACTCTCTGGTTCATGGAGAAATCCTCTTGGGCAACCTTAAATGCCCAGAATATATCTTATAGTAAGTATGTGCTACCATACACCTACAAGATGCTCAGCAACAGGCGTTTTCCTAAACCTCAATCAGGAAATAGTAATCACGGACCACGTCCATGTCTTCACGAAGAGGTTGACCAGAGTGAAGGGAAATGGGCCTTTCCCAGCAGAAGCTGAAGCCAGATACCTTTATACAGTCTGATGACTAAGTTATCCCCACGGTCACAAGCCTCAGGCTGCCTTGCTAATGAGCATGTGGATGTCCTGTGCAATGTCAGCAGCTCTGGGTACCTCTGTCCTTTCACCTGCTTCCCACAGGGGCATGTCATTCAGCTCCGTGACCATGTTACTTTTAAAGCTTCTCTTTCCTACTTGATAATCCGTTTTCTTTTTTTCCTTCTAAACCTACTTTTAGTTGAATATTAGTGTGATAGGTGGTTAAGCTAATTTTCAATAAAGTCAACTAATCAGCCACGTGTTTTTGCCACTGTGGAGTACTGCCTAGTCACTTGAGTATTAATATTTTAAAAATAAAGACATGTGGTATCAGTTATGAGTCATTTTGTTTCAAAAGATTTTATTGTACTGGTATTTAGGTCTCTGTAGCTCTGTGTGTACGTGCACATGTGTGTGTGTGCCCACGGAAACTAGAGGATGTCAGATCTCTCAGAGCTGGAGTTATAGGTGGCTGTGAGTCATATACAGTGGATGCTGGGACCTGAACACCAGTCCTCTGGAAGACCAGGAAAGGTTCTTAAATAGCAAGTCATCTCTCCAGTCCATAAATCACTTTTTTTAAAAAAATACACATTTAACATATAACATTCCACAGAAAATGAAGTCTTGTTTTGAAAAAATGAGATACTATGGGTTCTTTAAACTTAGATTAGGACCCAAGCTGCATGCTAAAACATTCACAGATATTTTACTCTTTACATAAGAATAGTTACACAAAGCCACGTTAAAAATATGTAAACAAAGCCACAATTATAAATTTTACTGACTTTGTCATTCATGGTAGTATTCAAATTTTGGCATTTATACCTAAATACCTTTTGATTTATAATTACATCTCTATCCTTAAGAATTATACAAATAAAATTAATTTTCAGAACTATCAGTATGTGTTTCCTACCTAAATTAATTTCTAGTTATATGTGATATAACATTTAAGGACAAATGGCCACAGGTTAGAGAAGCATCAGCTTCACTTATAATTCATTTGTGCTTATTTGTGCATTATGTGTTGAATGGAAGGGCGTTGTTGCTCTAGGAGAATCAGCACCATTTGAGGAAAGAGATGCTGATGGGAACGGATGTCTTCCATCTGGAAGCAATGATGGAGAGCTGTTTGTGCCTCCACTACTCCTGGGATGGAGAGAGTTGCCCACCCCAACCTGCCATACTTACATATATACGCCATTTTGACAAAATAACCAACAGTGATTGTAATGAGTGTGGGTCCCCTGACTTTGCTGGCACAGGACAAACTTATAAGAAGGCCATACATGAGATTTGCTTCCTTCCTGTTTCTCAGTGGCAAGAGTAGATGAATGGAAAATGTATACAGATCAACAAAGTATCCATTTGGTTCTGATAACTTTCCTTTAATAAGAAGCTTCTCTTTCCCGTAGAAAAAGTTTCATTAAAAAAAAAAAATCCAGACTTCTCTGACAGAAGTCTGTATCGAGTAGCCTCTAAGTTCTAAGTTCTTTCATTATTTATTAGGTCTTTTGAAACTCTGAATAGCTAAAAATATAGAGCTGTGTAGCCTGTCAAGAAGGCAAAATCTCCAAGCTACAGTATAGCCATGGAACACACCAAGTCATCAGTACCTATAGTTAACCAGCAGGTCTTCTCCCATAGCAACCAGCAGAGGAAAGTAACAGTAGAAACGGGACGGTGTATGCCTAAAGGACAAGATCATGCTGCCATTTCATCTCGTGTATCCTTTTAGAAATATGCACACACATATGTATAAGTAAGTGTATTCGTGTATATGAATATGTGTGTACATGTATACATATATATGTATAATGTGTATATGTGTATATATGAATATATATAATTATACATATATATGTATATAGCAGGTAATTGTTTATTTAAGGGAAATCTGAAGAGAATAAATAATAAGATAAACCAACTCACCTCCTGTAGGCGGTCTATGTACATACGGCAAGTCTCCAAATCACAGTCTCCACGAACAACTAGAATACCCAGAGGGATGGCTGAGGATGGAGGAAAGAAGAAAAATCTAAAATGACATGTATGGTCTTTAGACTGACATAAATGTGCTTCTCATGGGTAAAATAGCCTTACAGGTATTCTGTGAATCTGGATACAACCATGAAAAGAAGTGGACTCTACAAAGCTCCCTGGTGGCCTCGGCTTCTTCTTCTTCCCAGCAGGTGTTATATATTTACCTTGTTTGATTCACATTGTCCTTGCCATATGGCTTTTACCTCAGTGTCCCTGATACAAAATACACTGTCTACTAACAACAGGACTGAAGAATTGGACAGCTGCTCGCTGCCAGCTGATAACAGATGCCTGCATCTGAATGGACAGCATGAAAGCACAGCCTGAGGAAGTCATTAATCATTCAGGATTCTGGACACTCACCCTTTTCCCTCCCGAATACAAGAGCCTCATCTTTTGGCATATTTGCAATAGCTTGCTATTTCTAATACTGAAGCTATTCAAACGATGTTGCTTCCTAATGGATCACAGCAAAATTAAATATGTAGAATTGAAGGAGGGAGGGTGGGAGAGGAGGAGGGAGTAAGCATAAGGACATAGGAAGAAAGGATTCTTTAAGGGTACCAGATATAAATCCAGTGATTTTAAAGACATTCAGCATTAAGTGTGGCGACATCAAGGCCTTGGGTAACTTTAAGGAGAAGCCAAGTTATTCATCTATGAAGGTAACAGAAGATGTCACACTGGCTTTACTGAGCAGACCTTTTTTATTTCAAGTATAAATTAATGCTTCAGAAATATTAAAAAAACCTACTTCTCAAAACAAAAAATAAGTACAGTTACAACATTAAATCCATGACTTAACACAAAGTGTCAAACTATCAAATCCATCAGCAAGAAACTAGCAAGCCACTGTATGACTGTGGTGTTCGCAACTGTTAAGTCTTTCATGGATTAAATTTAGCATTAAATCTTCACTGTTAACCAATGAAATTACAAAGCTGGGTGCTATGAAAAATTTTAAAACACAGGATAATATACATTTAGAATGCATAAAAATATCTTGAGGAACTCTTAAAGTACGAAAAGAATAAATAAACAAATAGTAGGCCTGTCATAATTTATACTAACGGTATTTGCTGAAACATGTGGACCCCATTTCATCTTTTATCTGGAAAACAAGTGTGGCTCAAAGTAAAAGAAGCATCTCCTTCCCCAAAACTATTCCCTGGATTGATTTCCTCTAGGCAGAACAGACTAGAGCTATTTCTTTCCTGCAAGCTCCTCAAGTCCTACCTAAATCAATCCTTGGAACATCCATCATCCTATGGGAGCCTGGGAGTGAGTATGAATCCTCTCACACCAAGGATAAGGCTTTCTATAGTCTCTTCCCCAATGTATGAAAGAGAAACGGTAAGAACACAAAAGTATGTATAAAAGGAAGAAGATGAATTAGTGCTCACTCAAACACAAAAAGAAAAGTGTGCCTTTAAGATGCACATCAAAAAGCAGGGAAGTAAAGAACATGTCAGTTGTCCTAACTCACTTTTGGTTATTTTTCAAGAAGCTAAGTGAGCGAGTCAGGAAACCGAGGGTGAAGAAGCCCCTGAGTGCCATACATTTAGGAGAATAATCTCAGGTGACTATGGCCTCCTTCTTTTTGACAATAAAAAATGAATACTAAGAAGTTGTCTTGAGGATTCATCTTCTGATCATCTTGGAGACTTGGACTTGAAAATGTACCAATCAATACTGATTCTACATAACAGGATGAATATTCACTGGGATTTGCGATTTCTAACTAAGCAAAAAGAAAAGAAAAACTAAGCTGCTCTCTTGAATAAAATAATAGATTTAGCACAATTACGTCTCTCTCATCAAAAACACTTCTCAACTACAGTAAAAAAAGGATATAGTAATATCAATAATTAGACAGAAACAAGAAGTGGACCAAAGATTAGTGACTGAGCCGGGGTCCATCAGAGTCCATCCCTATACAGAGTGCGAGATAGATACAAAATATTGAAAATACGCAGCAACATTCAAGGCTGAAATTCCATGGCATATCCTGCAACATCACGCACAGAAAGACAGAACGAACCTGGAAGTAAATTTAAACAGGAACTCTAGCTGAACACAATCAAGGATTGACGTTTTCTCGTAAATGGTCGGATGCTAATACGATTTGAAAAACTCTAAATAAAACATTGATAAGTTATTGCTATTTAATTATTGAAAAATTTCCAATAAAAGTAATTTTTAACTTTCTTTTTGCACATTTTCATACATTTAACTGTATTTGCTGAGTTTAATTTTTATTTTGACTTTGTCTTTCATCTACCATTAGTTTTTATTATGGAAACTAAATTTCCTAATAAATTTTTGAAGACATATCAAAGAGCTCTCAAAGCACAGCAGAAAACAAAGCACTTCAACTGTTGATGGAAGCCTGAATCAGCAAGAGAAACAGTGGATATGATTAACAAAACTTCTGCTGACTCCTGGGCATTTCGAATTTTTCATGCTTAGCTTTGGCTTTATCTGAAACTATTTTAAATGAAAGAAATCCATATGAATGTGTTGGGCCTCCAAATATCAGCATATTATAAAAAAATATTCTCTGTATATCAGGAGACCCTAAAGGGTTGCATCATAATGAAATCACAGTGTGAACGTCAGTAAACATAAAACTCTCTCTAACTCCAAAAAGTTTATAAATGTTTCCCAAAAAGGGAAAAGGAGGAAACATGGGAGGGCGGGGAATGGAAAAGGACAAGATAAAAAGGATGAGAAGGAAAGAGAGAGGGAAAAAAGTCCCTAAGCAACACCGTTTATAGACTCCTCTACAGTCTCGCTATGAGCACCATCAGAAATGTGAGGAACTGGGGGGCAGGGCAGCTGTCGTAGGAGCACTGTGTGCTAGAGGGCTAGACCCCTCATGTTAGGCACCACTGCTATCTAAAAATGGGGGGTAGCTACAATTAGCAGAGTACAGTGACCTAGAATTTCATTCCCTCATAGATAGGTTGCTAAAATCTGTCATCAGGTTATCTATCATTTTGGCATAAGGAAGACTTTTGAAATCTGACAAACCTGTGGGGCAAAGTGTTAGCATATTTGCAAGCGCACACCCAACATTTGTTAAGGTCCAAGGCAAGAATGTTAGACTTGAATTTCATACACCTACACAGGCACGGTTTTGACATAAAGTTCTAGAATTATGAGAATAGACTACACTTTTCTACTTTGTAAACAGACCTTTGCTGATATCTGAAGGAGGCGTCAGAATGAGAATTCTTGTAATCCATGGAGTGCTGGGACAAAGCACACTGATTGTGACCCATAGCCATACCCCATCTCTTTATATCACCGGTCCTGCACATGTGGGTAGTCCAGAACACACCTCAGAATTCTGCACCGTCCACACAAATTCAACCATTCAAGGTCATCCATGCTATGTAACTGTCTCTTAGAGACTGGATCAGAGGAAAAGACATGTAGACATCCGAAGAACAGGCTTAGGACTACTAGGCTAAGAACTGTAAGAACCTAAAGCATAGTCAAGAAAAACAAGGAAATATCTCTCATAACTGGTCAAATGCTAATCCAGCCAATCATGATTTTTAGATTCTAGACAAAATGTCGATAAGTTGCTGCGATTTAATTACTGGAAATTTTGCTGATCAAAATCCATTTTAACTGTAATAATTTTAGTTTATGAGAAATCTAACATAATCCCAGGTAGCAGAGCTTAGCTGGAAAGGGCCACAGGAGGGCGTGCCAAAGCTGGGGGCGGTCTCCTCATATAAACCTAAAGGGAACGCTAACTTGGAATTCTCAAGGATCAGTTTGCCTAGTTCACATAAAGAATCTCAAAATACAAAATCTTTTGCAAGAATCTTGATGTATGTGGCTGTGTGTGTGTGCGTGGGTGGATACACATGAATGTGAGAGTCTGCAGAGGGAAGCAGAGGTCACTGGAGTCCCTGGAGCTGAAGATGCAGGCTGCCTAAAGTACGTACTGGGAGCCAAACCCAGGTCCTTTTAGGAGCAGTAGTTTCAGCTACTGGACCATCTCTCCAGCCTTGGTTCTCATGTTTAACAATGAACAGAAATATAGAAAATGACCAGAAAACTAGGACATCCATCTAACACAAAAGGTAGGGAGTAAAATAAAAAATGAAATCAAATACAAACTGTAAGAAAGAAAAAGCTTTTAAAATATTATCATTTTTATAACTGCAAGGTTTTGAGAAAATGGATATATCAAAGTGAAATCAAAGGATGTTGATGATGTGAAGAAGAGGAAAAGTTTGAAGGGCAGGGCTTCACACAGAAAACAACCAGACATCCAAAGTACTTTGAAAATTTGATGGACTAAATACAGAGCTTAGTCAAATGGTTAGGAGATAAAGTTGAGGCAAAACAAAACAAAACAGCCCAAAACAAAGTGGGGAAGGAGAGCAAAGAAAAGACCAGGAAATCCGGCATCATCTCAAGCACACAAGAAAACAAGGGAATTGTCAGAAAATAAAACATTTATTTCCAAACTAAAAAGATCCATCAAGCATCCAGCACAGTAATGAGATGAATGCACACCATTTTGAATTTTAAGAGCATTGAGAACTTTTGTTTACACCTGTAGACTAACGCTACTCTCAGTCATGAGCAAAGAAGCTTCTCTTGGGTGTAAACAGTAGGGAATGCAGATACTCATGGCTAGCCAAGGTGCTGAGATCAGGGCATATATAACATTCCCTCTAAGGCTCAGAGACCACTGCCTAAGAGAAAACAGAAAGAATACGCAAGCAGAAAAAAAAAGAGAAAGAACTGTCAAACGTGGTCTTCCAGGCCTGACACAGAGATTGCAATCTTATAATTATCTTACAAACGCTAAGGTTATCTATACTGAAACTTCATAAACTGAGCTCATCAACAGCAATTACGGACTGGGTGGGAACTCATGTAGCTCCACCCTTCCCCGATGAATTATTGGCTACTTATGGATTCTGGGGGGAGGGACGGATAT